ACTAGTGATGAAGTTTCACTTTTTGCTGATCTGAAATTGACTTAATTTAGTTCCCATTTGTAAATAGCAGTTAAACAGAGTATAAAAATTTATATTTACAATTAGTTATTCTTAATATCTTGAAGACTTTTTTTTTCACTATATGCTGTATTTCTAAAAGAAATTCCTTCTAGGTAATCTGTCCTTTTCTTTGGTTACTTTCAAGATGCTTCCTTTAACTTTGTTTCAGTACTATGCATCTGAGTGTAGCTTTCTTTTTATTTTATTTATTTTGTTTGGGAACTTACTGTTTCCTGAATTTGAGAATATACGTCTTCTAAAAGTTCTGGGGCATTTCAGAAACTATCTATTGAATATTTTATTCTCCTCCATTCTTTATATTCTCTTCTTTTTTAACTCCTAATAGCATATATTGAACATCCACATTCTATTCCACGTCTCTTAAAATGTATTTTTTCATCTCTCTGTCTCTCTCTGCTGTGTTCCACGTGATTCTCAAGCTCTCCCAGTTCATTCATTATATCAACAGCTGTATCTAACCTGAATTTTAAATTTCAATTATTGTTTTTTTTTATTTTTATAAATTAAATTTATTCTATTTAAAAACCTACTCAGTATTTTGATGCTGTCTATACCTTTTCCACATATTTTCTCTTTCATTTCTTTAATCATGTTACTTTATATGTGGTAAAATTCCAGTATCCAAAGTTGTAGAGTCTAACACTGTTACTTGTCATTTTGGATTATTCTTACCTGAATATTTTATAATTTTTTATTGTGACATCATATTCAATGAAGCATTATCTGTGGGGATAATATGTCGTCTGGGCTGCAAATATATGCCCCTAGAGTGCTTTTGCCGGGGTTACAAATATATGCCTCTAGAGAGCTAGCATGCTCTTGAGAGGGCTGAGTATCCCCAGGGACTTTCCCAACATTTAAAAAATAGTTGTTGGCTTGGAAAGGAAGCAAAAAGTGAGGCAGTGAGGCATTTCCCTGTCCCACAAGTCATGCTACAATTGCAAAGCTTCCGTTCTCCAGCAGTCAGGCCAGCATTGATTGGAGATTATGGATTTTGAGTATCTTAATGTGTATCCTAATAAGAATTAGAATTTATCAAGCACTACTGGTGCTGGCATTAGGTAGTGACTTTTGTAAATTATATTGTCTAGATCTTTCTGTTACATAGTTACATGAATAAATATCAGAATTTTGATATACTATCCCACCCCTATTACCCATCTTGAGAATGAATGAATTCACATTTATAAGTTGAAAATATAAGTAATTGATGCAAAAAAAGAATTAATTTTATAGTACAACTGAATAAACACAAATGCAAGTAAGAAGACAGTGGAAAATCAAGGATAAGGAAAGGATGCTACGTTAATGTTAATGCTTGTCTCAAAGCACAAACCACGCTATTTGGAATAATGCCCCCTTAATGGTAGTAAAATACACATGCATGTTTTATTTTGCAATTATGACTTTTTGTGATTGCTTTTAATTAACATTTCTCTCTCCAACTAGAATTTAACCTTTATAAAAGCAAAGATTGTGACTTTTTTTTTTTAACTCTTACTAAATTCTTAATACTTAGCATAGTGCTTGGCATATTAGTAGGCATTAAGTAAACAGTTCTTGAATGAATAAATAAATGAGTGAATAAACTACATGGTTTTACTATCATCTCTTTTGGTTTGAAAATAGCAAAATTTATTATGTGGTATCCTTTATTCCCAGGAAATTCAGACACAACTAATAGGCATTCAGTTGTGTTAAAAGGATTTTAAGAAATTTATTAGATCCCTGTGGAATTTTCCTGCAATTTACTTATTTTTAAGTATAGCCCTCTAAAGAATATCCACTAAATATCCTTTTAGGATAGGTTTACATATTTAAGCCTTATCTTTAATCCTTTCACTTTATCCTTTTGGGGCAATCTTCCTGTTTAAATAATTTTAATAGCATTCTTTGAAATGAACCCTCCCCAACACCTCAACCTTATCACCACTATTTTAGCAGTCAGCTATCATTTTTTGAGTCACTGCTTCTGACTTTAAAATATGGAATATCGATGCACTTTTACATTTTTATTGAAAATTGTTTTTAACTAAATTTCTGCAGTTATTCTTTTAAAAATTCCTAATAGAGCTTTTGATGGATATGAAATTTGTCAGTGGGGCTGGCCCCGTGGCTTAGCTGTTAAGTGTGTGCGCTCCGCTACTGGCGGCCCGGGGTTTGGATCCTGGGTGCACACCGAGGCACCGCTTCTTAGGCCATGTTGAGGCAGCATACAGCAACTAGAAGCAACTAGAAGAATGTGCAACTATGACATACAACTATCTAATGGGGCTTTGGGGAGAGAAAAAGGAGGAGGATTGGCAATAGATGTTAGCTCAGAGCCAGTCTTCCTCAGCAAAAGAAAAAAAAAAGAAAAAATAACTATTGTTGTATAGTTAAAATATTATGACTAATATAATCATCTGATAATATCATTTAATAGCAGTAGCACCACTGGATATGTTTTTTAAAATATAATTTGCAAAATACACTGAAGCACTGAGCCTATATTTAATATATTATAAATTAGCTTGAATAACCTTAGTTGCCATTTTTATTTCAGATGCTAGCTGGTATGCTGAAAAATTTGATAGTTTGCAAAAATGAAATACTGTATAACTAGTTTTCCAGCTATATGGACAATATAGGTAGACAGAGCAGGGTAAAGGTAGAGGGATTGGTGAAGCCATTAGCTTGTATTCAAACAGAAATAGCATGTAATAACAAGAGTAATTTCATTATTTACTCAACACCTCCACGCTGGCAGCAAAGGCAAGACAAGACCTGGCTGCCAGGACCTTTTATCTACACATTGCAAGCTGCACATTGGCTTCTTAGGTCTTCTCGCTTCATCTGCTTTAACCCAAATATATTTCTACCTACAAATCTTCTCAAGTTAAAAGTTGATATTTATTACTGCATCAATATTTTATCTAAAATATTGGATGTGAAGGAAGTTATATATAGTGAGACATGCTCAGGGCCCTATAATCTCTTTGGAATCATCCTGCATCAGTCTCCGCACCAGGTAGGTGTCAAGGTGTGGACTAGAGTCACATGGTGAGCCTGGATTAGGGCTGAATATACTGAGAGTGAGTGAAAGGTGGGCAGGTTGAAGGCTAGAAATGAAGAAAGCAGATGTCAGAAGATGTTAGGAGACTAATAATTATATCTCACAATGTATCAGAGCCAGCCCTTCCATCAATTATTTCCTAAGCTAATGACAAAATTTCTCAATTTTATAACAACAACTCTAAAAGATTAAAAGTTAAATATTCAAAGGCTGGCCTGGTGGCATAGTGGTTAAGTTCACACGCTCTGCTTTGGCGGCCCTGGGTTCATGGGTTCAGATCCCAGGCGCGGACCTAACTACTACTCATCAAGCCATGCTGTGGAGGCATCCCACATACAAAGTAGAGGAAGATTGGCACAGATGTTAGCTCAGCAACAATCTTCCTCAAGCAAAAAGAAGAATATTGGCAACAGATGTTAGCTCAAGGCCAATCTTCCTCACCAAAAGAAAAAAAAAAGTTAAATATTCATTGGCAACCATTTACTACGCATTGAAGCATAAAAGCTTCAATCCATTCACAGACCAGCTTTTTTTTCTTTTTGATAAACTCATACTACCTATTAGTAGTATTTTTTCTTATAAAATACAAAGTATTACTGCAATTCAAGTTATAAATCTTCAGGAGGTAATTATTTTTCCTCCTCCCATACCAGATTTAACAAATGGTATTAAATGTTTTCCACAAAGCAAGTGTTATTCCCATTATCACGAAACAAAATTTCCAAATATTTTGGTAATTATTTTAAGTAAAAGTTATTTTCAACGTCACACATGGCAATAGTTACTAAATCTAAGAAAGTATGTAATTTAATGTTTCTTTTAAAAAATAACTTTTACCTTTATGAAGAATTATAATTAATCATCAGATGCTTTTAGATTTTCTATATGGGAGAACAAAATTTCATATTTGAGGCTTACCACCAAAAATACAGTAGTAATAGAAACCAAATAAAAGAGACTAAGATATCTAAAAACAAAATTGGACAGAATTTGAATCTAATACTGTGCTATATTAAACTTAGTCCTAGATAGCAAAAATCCAGCCAATACAGGCAGGGAACATTTGGGGACTTTGGAAATATAATTGCTGTTTCTCATACATTTCTTTAAAAATGTTGTTTTGTGTAGTTATGTTAAGTCATGATTTCCTTAGTAAACTAGATTAACATTCAAAATTGATTTTTAAAAATAATTTAATAAAATCATATTACGTGGGAGCAGTTTCTTGTGTGTACAGTTAGTGAAGATTGTGGAGGAGTTAGAACTTTGGCAAACAGAGAACACAACCAATATACTGATGTAGGGGTTGAAAATAATTTACAAAATTAATTTAATAAAATGCCTAAAACAGTGACTAACAATTATTAACAAAATAACAACAAAGTATCTGTATTTGCATTTAACAACACATTTAAGCCAAAGTTGAATTAATAAAAATAATATGCAGTGAACCAATATCTGACATAAGATACAATAAAAATGAATGTTCACATTGAAGACCCCAAGTTATGACAACATCTCTAACGCCTTCTGAATAACTTTTACTTCAATTTCTCAGTTTTGTTGAATGTAGCTCTTTGTGGCCTAATAAGATGTCAACCAGAATATCCAAGATATTTCTAAAAGCACACTACATTTCCCCTACCACGCCAGATAAAATAATTTAACATATTTATTTTAACAACACCGAACTATAGTTTTTTGTTTTTTAATTTCTAGTACTAATTGTGGTTCTTAAAGATATCTACAATTGATACTTGAATTGTCATGCTGCTCCTGAAAGGAACAATGTGTTTATGCTGAAAGTTTTGCTGTAATTCACCCCTAAAATTTACTTTATGTGGAAAAGTTTCACCATAAAAAAATATCTACTATTTATATATGTCAAGATTGATTCAACTACATTTTGTAGAACAAGCACAGATTTTGATGGCAGACAAGCTGGGTTTCAACATCTAACTTTACACTGTGACCCTGGGAACATTACATACCTTCTCTGAGCCTCGGCTCCTGAACTACAGAATGAGAACATCACCACAGTTCTCAAAGGGTAGCATCAAGTTTAAAAAGAGCTTATGCATGAGCCTAGTACTGAGCTAGGCATAATGTAGTACACTGGGTGTTAATGCTTTTTTCTCCTCTCTTTCCCATTCCTGATATATTTTGGCTAATTGGAGATTAGTGAAAAAACATAGAAGTTACTGGAATAAATCAGCTCCACTAAAAACCTCATTATATTGCAGGCAATAGCTATATATTTCCAAAGTAAAATTCAATAAGATGAAAAGATTGGTTTTAAAAATGTATTTACATATCATAATTCATATGCAAGAAAAGATTTTTTGGGGCAATAATGACAAGAAAACCAAAGAAGCTACATCTGTGTGTATAGTTTAATTTTGTAAAAATTAAGAAAAATACCCAATTTTATTAAATGTTGAATGTTCATGGACAGGTAACAGAAACAAAGCTACTTCATACAGCAATCTAAGTCAACATCCAAAAATATCAAAATAGAGTTTCTCTAAAGGAAAGAGCCTTTTTTTAATGAGACTGATAATAATTAGAAGTTCCCATTATTTGCCCATGAAACTTCCTAAGAAAGGTGCTACTTCAAACAGGATTCTAGTAGAACTTGGCACATAAATTTTAACTTTTTAACCATCCACTAGTCTTCACCTTCTTGTAGCTTCACTCACTCAGACAATCTCACGTATATATACATTAATATTAAAAACACACATGGCTTTAAAGCAGAAAATTCATTTTCTACAACAAAAGCAGGTCATCATATTTATACCCAATGTTCTCCCAATGGATTTTCATCATAGGGCTGCTAATTGGCATACACTATTAGGTTCAACATTTCAAAAGGTGCGTCTCTAGGAGGATCTGTTTGATCATGTGCAAGAATTCTAAGGCATTGTAAGTAGTTGCTCCACAGGACAAGTGCTGCCCTTGATATACTCTTGATACATTTAACAAGTCTTTAGTCTTCAAATGCCACCAGCAAGACACAGGGAGACATTCATAGCCTACAGGTGGTTGGCTCAAAGGTCAAAAACTTTGTTTAAAAAAAATGTTTATGGAATAGCACCATAGAAAGTCTTTCAGACACAAATCCTTTTTTTCAACATTACATTTTTTTTAACTGAATTCCAGGAAGAGAAAAAAAGAGATCTTTCAATTCTTACAAGGCCTACTTCTGCTTCATTTCATTTTTTTTTAAATACAACATTCACCATGACAACATCAACAATAACGACTACAACAGGTCAACAATAAAAGAAAGACAATAGCAGCAGTGATAACTTGAGTATGAATCATCCAGGCAGTCACTGAGAAGAATCCTGTTCACACCTGTTGGGAGTTTTCTCATAAAGTTCATAAGACATCACAAGGCTTCTTGGATTTGGTGTGAAAAGGCAGCACTTCCACAGAAAGAACTGAGTTTACCAATCAACTGGGCATTTTCCAGCACTTAAATAAATGATGTCTAGAGTTTAACTGCAATAATAGACACTATTGACATTTCAAACTTGTCAAAACGTCAGTCAAATGAAGTGGTCTCAAGATCATTTGTGTTTCAAAGAGGTTAATCTAGCCTGCAAGTGAAAATAACGAAGGTGAAATATTCCAGTTTCCAAACATTGGACACAACTGCATTTAAAGTACAAACCATCCTCAAAAGACTCCCCTTTCACAATATCTTATATGGATCTGGTTTACATTGTATCCAAGATACAGAGCCAAAGCAATTATCCTAAGGTACAAGGAGAAGGTTTTCCAGTTTATGACTTGCAAGATCATTTTATTTCTCCCAGATCTTGAAAAATTGTCAAAAAGAACACTCTGAAGGGTCACAGACCCTGAACTGAACTGTCTAAACTGCGAGGCATCGATGTCAAGCTGTGAACAACAGCTCGTGGAGTCTTCCCTGAAGCTCGTGATGCCCTTTGACCAGCTGTGTTTATACCATCAAACACGGAGTTCAAATATCCTTATCACGCTGATCAGAGTTAGCTGGAAACTTCTCTTCAGTACAAAGATAATTCTGGTTTTACAGTTTCTTCTGTTCAAACTCATTATACAAAACATTTGTGCTAATATCTTCATTTAAAAAAAATACGTTTTCTCTCCGTTATGCACATTCCTTTATGTTCTGACGGAGGTTTTGGTGTTATTTTTTGGTGTGCATGGTATCTGGATATCTAATACTTTTGTATCTTATATGAAATCCTTTCTTGTTGATTGTGTCATCAGTGTGAAAATGAATTAAAACTGCATCCCCAATTGAATAGATCTCTTCTGGTGGCTGAAGATAAAAACAAAAAAAACAAGCAAATAAACAAACAACAGAATGAGTCACTTTTTCTTCAATGTAATTCACATTTGGGAATTTTTTTTTTTTTGGTATATAATTTACTCTTCCCAGCAACCTTGAAAAGTGGATATGAGTGATTTCTTCACTTTACAGATGAGAAAACTTGAGTTTCAGAGAAGCAAATGACATGCTCAAGATGGCGAGGCAGTGATGTGGCTAGACTTTAAACATACTTAAATCTGTTTCCAAGTTCTGCAACTCGGTGTTTTCTCCCAAATTTTTAAGCCAAGTTCCTTTTATTTACAAACAAATAAAGTGGGCTTCGGAAAGGATAAAGAGACATTAAATTTGTTTCAGAAGCTGCTCTGAGGCAGAGCCACTTCCAGAATCCAAATTGTCCATTCCTTCTTGTTTTAATAATCTAAGTACCAAGAGGTTTTTTTTTTGTTTTATTTCAGTTGCTATTTGGACAGGAGTTCAACAGATTTAAGCAATAGATACTGGTGGACATTCAAGAAATTGGGACTAACATCTTCAAAACAAAATATGTAGAAGATCATTTGATGTTACCACAGTGAGTCTTAGGGAAAAAAGCATTGAGAAAGCGTTAAGCTTTTTCTTATTTCTCATGGTGACACAGTCTGACCTGTATCTGGCACTCTGTCCCATGCACAAGTAACACACTGCAATGGAACAATATTCTAGCAGCACTGGCTGAGCCCACATACCAGTGGTGGACCTTGTCACTCTCACCAAATATATTTGTTGAGAAGGGAATGTCAATCTGAATGGTGTGCATATTCTTTTTTCTTTTATGCTTTAATTTAGGCAGGTGATAACATTGACAAAGGTGTCTAAGTATATTGCTTTTATATTATTAAATATTTACAGCACAATAAACACATGAATAAAAAAATTAGAATGTGGATAGTGACAAGAAATTATAACTACTGAATTCGTCTGTCTTGTTGGACATTATCAAGCAAATTCACTAGAGATGGAGAAATGGTAAGGGAAGAAGCGGCATGTTATAATCTGTCAAGCCATTAATAATACCATGTAACATTTTTTGTAAAAACATTGCCCACTTGCATACGTTACACATATCAAACCCGAATCAAGAGGCATTCCTTATCATATCTGTATGGCATCCTGTTGGTACTGTATTTACCCCTGATCCACAGAATCGACCAAGCCCCACCGCTGTTGAATCGAGACCATCGAAGAGCTCAACATAGTCATAGCCACAGTCCGCCTCCTCTTCCACTTCAAAAATTGGGAAGGATAACTCGAGTCGAGAGCCCTGTTCTGATAGCAGCAGCCATTCACAGTCGGCCTGTCCTGGATAGTTGTTGTCTCCGAATTGAGCATGTGAGTACAGATCTCTGGGTTTTGATTCTGCTTTCAGTCGGCCACCACACTCTGCCCAGGAAAGAACAAGGAAACAAGTAAGCTCAACGAGCCTTAAGAGGTCCAATTCAATTGCAATGTAGTCCAAGCATCCACTAACTTCTGTATTCATTTCTGTCATCAGGTATGTTTGCCACAATTGGTGAGTCAGATGGTGTGACGGGTACAGGCACAGGCCCCAGAGAGACTGCAGGGCTGGAATCTCAGCTCCAACACCTACTAGCTCAGTGACTTTGGATAAGTAAGTGTCATCACTTCTCTGATCCATAGTTTTCTCAAGGGTAAAATGCAGATGGTAATAATAGTACCAATCTTAGTGGCTTTGAGGATTTAATCAGTATGACAATCACAAAGCAGTGCTTGCCATATAGTAACTTTCAATAAACTTTTTTTGTTTTTTTGGTGAGGAAGGTTAGCCCTGAGCTAACCTCCGTTGCCAATCTTACTCTTTTTTCTGAGGAAGACTGGCCCTGAGCTAACATCCATGCCCATCTTCCTCTATTTTATATGTGGGACGCCTGCCACAGCATGGCTTGATAAGCGGTGCATAGGTCCACACCTGGGATCCGAACCTGTGAACCCCGGGCCGCCAAAGCGGAGCACGCACATTTAACCACTACGCCACTGGGCCGGCCCCTCAATAAATATTTTTTATTGTTATTCCTCACATTGTTTTTAGTCTCAAATAACTATTCTCATGGAGAAAATGTCAATGTCTTAAACTGAGTTTAACCTTAATAATTTAAGAACCCAGAATCCAAAGGAGTAACTTTAAAATCAAAAAACTATATAAAACCCCTGTGTGTGTGTGTGCATTGTATAGAACTCTCTACATAGAATATATAGAACAGTATTACTTTACATAGGTAGAAATATTTATCTAACTTGGTTGGGAAAAACATACACATATCATTAATTATAATTACATTTGTAGTTCCAGAACCTATTCAGTTATATTTTGTGTTTGTAATAAATAAAAAATTTTAATGCTCTTTTTACAGCTTCCTTTTCAGAGAGATATAAATAAATATATGCTCTACCAGTTATTACCTATGTCATTAGAGGTAAATACGCCAAATAAATAAATAAGTGTGCATAAAAAATTAGTTAGTATATTTTAGAGAATAAAAGTTTTCAAAAAATTTGCTTAGAAACTCTTTGCAGTCAGAACCCCAAAAACTTTATAATAATTAAAGATTAAATAAAGGCAGAGGTCTAATATACATGCAAACATATGGCTGAGGGTGGGGGGAGATACAGAATAGAGTAAAGGACGAAAAGTATTAGGAGAAAGGAGCGTTTCCTTCTGTCCCTGTTTGAGAAGGACTGAGAGGTTCTGGGAAGTAATAATTTCAGTGCTAAAACTAGGAAAACAGGTATGATCGGGAAGGGACAAAAAATGCAATGTAGAAAGATCTGGACAAACTAAAGCACCAGATATCAAAACACAACTGTAACACTCTCGTGGTCGTCTGAGTAGACAGTCCGTGGCAGCTCCCTGTGAGGATGGATGGGGCAGCTAAATTCTTACTTGGATTTTTCAGATTTGTATATGGTTTATCCATATCGTGGTTTGGTGATTTTAAATAACAAAATATTTCTGAATTCCCAGGTATGGAACACCATTCAGATGTGTCTGAATATATGTGGGCTCAACTAAACCTAGGATATTGTCACAGACAACTGCACATTTGGAGACCTTTGTGTGACCAACATATGAAAGAATTTCCAACTAGGGTTTGGTCATGAGAATGGCTTCCCCATAGGGCTGTGTTACATGATGAATCTAAAGGTCCTTCTGTCCTCTAGATGGTGGGTGTGGCATCTTGCTCAATCTAGCCATACAGGTGACACTATTACAAATGTAAACACGTGAAGATACACATGTGCTGGGAACCACCCATGGAGGCTGAAATACCAATCACTCTGGGATATCATCACTCAAGTCCTGCAGACTGGAAGCCAAGCATCTTCCCTTTCCCACTATGATGCTTCTCTGATCTCAGTAACTCCATGAATTACTGTCCTCTCCCTGTGACTGAACACCTCAGCCAAATTGCCTGGGTCCAAATTTGAGCTCTGCTCTTCATCAGCTGTGGGACTTTGTCCTACACTTCATTTTTAAAATGGGGATCACACATAGTACTCACATCACAGGGTCTAGACAAAGAATGAATGGATTAATATATGTAAAATGCTTGAAAGATGCCTGGCACATAGGAAAAGCCATATAAGTATAAGCTATCATTACTGTTATTATTGTCCAGTGAGAACATCTAAATGCCATCATCTGTACTTCTGGAGATCCACTCAAGTATGAAATGAAAAGCCAGAAAAATGGGAAACCAATTTAAAGCACTATTAATCCAGTATCAGAAAGGAAAAATTATATTTTTGAAAGCCAGGAAAATATTTTGTAAAAAATATCTCTGAATTCAATAAATAAATACATAAACTGGTGCAGTCTCATTTATAGATTTTTAAAGTTCTACTTATTCTCAAAGTTTGGTACAATTGACTGATTTGTTTTGTTTTCAACTTTTAAAAGACCGTTGGTGTTTGTATTACTTTTATTCCACAGCCCAGAAAGAGCTGAAGGGTGGACTGTGAGATATGGAGGAGGCACAGGCTTCTGTGTGTCTGCTTCTCAGAAACAAAGTAGCAAAACAAAGAGCAGGATCCAGAAGAGACAATTCTCTGCCAGCACCAGCTTGGAACAAAAATCAAGGAGGAAATGAAGTAGCTGAACAAAATGGGAAAAGAGATTTCTCAAAGCCTTTGTGAATCTGAAAATGACAGTAAAGGCATCATTATTCAATTTTATTGAAAACTTCTAGAAAATGGCATACATTCAAAAACAAATGATTTAAACTACATTTAAGGAAGACAAAATGTTTCAATAAGTTCCCCTGTTTTTGTTTATCTGTTTCAGTGCACAACTGCATTCCTACGGATCACTGCTCAAACTAATAACTCTGGAATTAATTTTCCAACCATGGGAAAAAAGAGAGAATTTAGTCCACAGGATAAATATTTTAAGGAGGAACATTTGAATATATGCACAAGAAGTGTGATCTTAACGTGCTCTGAGAGAAATTCCATGAGCAGAAAATAATAGGCAGCATGAGGGCAATTGCTTATGAGTATTTTCGAGAATTCTTGTGGCTGTTCTTCAAAATACGGTCAATATATCATTTAACATGGTCCTTTAAAAGAAGATTTTTAAATTGAATAAACACATTTCCTGCAAATATCCCTATTTGTTTATTGTCAGAAAAATATAAAAGCAGTAGTTTAGCATGTCAGCAATAACGTTTTTAAATCAATTGTTTGAAAACACTATCCGAGCTGCCAAAGCATCTTCTACAGAATTCTGGGAAATGGAAAATGAAGCTGAATGTGAAAGGTAACAAGAAGGGAAGAGAAGACTGGGGGTTGTCTTCATTTTAATTTGGAGAGATATGTTTGTTTATTTCCTGGTAAAGTATTAAATTCCCAGAAAGGTCCTATAATTTGACCCGTAAATGCTTTTAGTGGGCATTCTAATTTAATTGAATTAGATCAAAATTATTTCCTTTCTCAGGAGCTTAATAAGGTATTATTTGATTTTTAAACATCATTGACAAATAGTATGATGCTTTATGCTGCAGAAAAGAAGTCTGACCAGACAATGTCATGTTTTTAAATATTATTTTCTATCCACACTTCCTGTCTTTTTCTGTATTATAGCCGTATCTTCTAAGCGAATACACGGGACATTTTTTTTTAGCTGAAAGATTTGTTTCCTTTAATTAGTTTATTTAAGGCTGGAGTAATACCATTTATTACTTGATTAAAATAAATTTAGACCTAGAAGAATTTGGCTGTCAGAGGAAAGAAGGGCCCTCTCCAACAAAGTCCATTTCTTATGGATTTGGACAGTATTACTTGTGAAAAAGTAGCCATAAAGCTAAATTACAGCAATATTTCTGATCACTTCATTCTAAAATTCGTAACGTTAGAAGCTTTTCTTGCAGATAAAATGGTATACAGAAATATAAATTTACTGAAGCAAATTAAAATGTGTACTTTAGGACCCATCAATAATAGCCACATGTATTCCAGAAGGCAGTAAATAATGCATAAGTGCTTTATAAATGTAGCAAAAGTTGACAGATGTGGTACTGGACTTGGCTGTCTTGTCAGTACTGACAAGACAAGTTTCTAAATTATAAGTTTAGAAACTTATGAAAATCAGAAGTTTAACTTATCAGACTGTTAAGCTATCCACAGGCAGGAATTTCTTCTACTTTCCCATAAATTCCCACAAATTTCTAATTTTTTCCTAGAAATTGCTAACACTTTACAGTATCTATCCAAAGCACATGCCAAATAAATAGTTGATGAAAGACTATGAAATAAATAAACTTGTTAAAGAGAAAGCTTTGAGGAGAAATAAACAGTAGGCGGGACATAAAAATATTTCACCGTGTATGGCTACTAGAAAGTAATGGTAAAAAATAAATCTACTCAGAAAATTCTAAGACAGTTGGTTAAGTGAGGGCAAAAATTTATACATGAAGAGAAAAAAACCCCACAAACAAACAGATAATGCCAAAAATTTTGACAAGAGCAAATGAGCAGGAGTTGGGAAGCCAGGACTCTAATTCAACTGTTAGTTTTTGTGCTACTTTCATTGTTATTTAAGGTTTAGTCTCGGGATCCCCATTTTTTGAGACGCCAGGGCTAGACAATATCAAGGCACATTTTGCCTAACAAAATGGGGTTGAGGTTGCTCATGTGGATATTTGAATGGATGTGAACTGAACAGGGAAATAAAATGAACCCAGTCAGGTATTTTGAATAGAGGATTTGTTTAAAACTTATCTAAAGAAGCATTCCATCTCCACCTATTTCTTCAAATAACAGTGATCTAGTTTTGTACTGGTTTTCTTCCTAATGCAAAATTGGTACATTAAGAGAAAATATACTGTACTATCCTAAAATATACTATAGGAAAGTACATGAGCTTTGGAGACAGTCAGAAATAGGAGAAAATCCAGGCTTTGCCATAACTTTAAAAATCTTTGCAAATTAATTAACCTTACAGATTTTCAGTTTCTTTATCTGAAAAACAAAGATAATAATATCTTCATCATACAGCTCTTTTGTATATTCAATGTTTGTAAAGTGTATGTAAAGTACATGTGTGTGCCAAAAATGCTAAGTGCATGCTATATATACCATTGGATCTCTTTTATAATATAATTAAATCCTACCAATGGATGCTTCATGGTAATATAAACACTGCAAATAGAGTCCATGAGCAGAAGCCATGCAAATTAAGGAGTCATGGAGTTTTACGGCTGTAAGAAACCTCAAGATTATTATTTTACAGATGAAAAAATTGAGATCCAGAGAAATTATCTTTTCCAAAGGTAATAACACAGTTGGATTAAAAACACAGATGTACCGACACATTGGAGAATAATATAATCTTAATCCTTACACTCTTAAAGGGTAAAAAAAGAAGTTTTTTTCTATAAAAGGAAATTTTTATTAAACTAAAAATGGAGAATTTATACATAGGTATTTTAAATACTAGATCATCAACTATTTCAAGAGTTTTGACAGCACACTTTCATACCACATTCTTAGAACCTCTGATAGTCAGGATATTAAGCATACATAAAAATATACGCCATGAACTCTGCACTATCAGAAACATATTGATGTAGTAATGAGATTCCAAATTTTCCATCCTTTCAATACATGACAAGTTATCAGAAAAATATTTAAAGAGTAAATGTCAAATGTATGGAAAAGCCTTCATTAATATGAAATTTCTACAGTATATGAAAGACTTTTTTCAAACCAAAATATTTATATTAATCTTGAGAAATAATTAATCAGTATTATTGATGAGGCCAATCATTACCACTATAAATCAGCTCAATATCCTGACAATTATTATCCACTTTCTCACAATAGAAATCTAAGGTTCATAAGAAAATATACTAGAGTGAAAAATAACCTTGGACAATGGAATAATTAAAAATCTGATTTCTAGAACAAAATGAAATAAAAAGAAAACAAAAGGAAAACAGCAGGAAACCACAACAAAAATTACTGCATTAAAATTGTTTCATGGATGAATTTGTAGACTATTATACTGTGTTTTACAGCGGGATAGAGTTCTCCCCGAAGTGGCTCAATAGTTTATGCATTGAAATGCCACTAGGTGTCACTATAAGCCAAATGACTTTAGTAAATATCTACAATTCACTGATTTTTAAAAAACTGAATGAAAAAATGACATATCCTAGACATCTATGGAATATATTATTAAATGATAAAATTATAAAAAATGTTAACATTTTGCCTAAAATTTTCCGTATTTTTCTAAATTATATTTTATTTCTTAAAGACTTCCAGAACACTTGTAATCTGTAAGAGTCATCTTAGGGAATAGGATTAGGGAAAAGATTGTGTTGCATATCAAATAAAACAGAAAAAAAGTGAGGCTCTGTAAAACAGAGAGATAAATCCCAAATTTGATTTACAAAAATATATATATTAACACAAAAGCTAGTTTACTGGGTAGTGTGTTAGAGAAAACATAAATTTTGAATACAAAACTATAGATTTCTATCTGCTAAATATAACATATAAATCAAACTGCTAAAGTTGATATGAAATACATTATACAAATATTTAGAAAGAGTTCTACTTGATCATACTGCATTGAACACAAATCAGATCAGAATTTTGGGTTTCTTCCTAAATGTTCAACGACAAAGATATTTTGTAGGTAGGCTGCTACATGGCTCTCCAATACGTCACACAGCACTTCAGTCAGATTTCTTCTGCTGTGCCTGGAGAGTCATTTGTGATCCTGTTATAGGATCCACTGCCTTCACTGAAAGAGAAAACTGGATCTTAGGAAGAAAACCATGGCCCTAACTTGCTGACCTGTAGAATGTGTAGCTTGAAAGCCTTTTCTTTGAACAGATGCATCAGAAACAAACCGAACGAACATTTTATTTCCCGTAGCCACAAGGGGCTCTGGTATCTTGTTGCCACATAGTCGTCCGAGAATTGGCGATTTTTCCGTTTCTCCATCAAATACTTCCAAGTGATCATAAGCACATTCTTGATGCTGCTCAATCTCAAACTCACTAAAGGCCTATTAAAAAAGAAAGAAAGAAAGAAAAGGCAAAACAAAAAGCCACATATCACTCAAATGAGTTCTTCTCTTTGGAGCAGAAATTAAGATCAATAAATATGTTCAGGCCATACAAATAATTTAATCCATATAGTATATTATTGAAAGGGGTGTAAAATCAATAGAATGCAAAATCTCTGGGAAAACATAATGAGGAAAACAAGTAATAACTCCATGTGAAATTCTACCATTCGACTATTGCAACTAATTCTACTATTGCAATTAATCTACTCCAGAATTTAGACAAATTATAATAACAAAGTGATATTTCATTCTGAATTTTTTCTGACTACATCAGAAAATTTTAAACAATTATGTTAAAAAATTGATTCCTGGGGCCAACCCAGTGGCATAGTGATTAAGTTCACATGCTCTGCTTTGGCAGCCCAGGGTTCACGGGTTCAGATCCTAGGTGTGGACCTACACACCACTCATCAAGCCATGCTGTGGCGGCGTCCCATATACAAACTAGAGGATGAGTGGCACAGATGTTAGCTCAGGGACAATCTTCCTCAAGCAAAAAGAGGAGGATTGGCAACGGATGTTAGCTCAGGAACAATCTTCCTCACACACACAAAAATTGATTCCTTCTGGTTTTGATGATCAAAAACTATCAAACATCATCCTACCTTTGGACACTTAAGAAGAAAACCTCATAAAGTAGTTATTATATTTTCACAAAAATTAAATGCAGTAAATCTTAATAGAGTAACTAAAACAAAGGGAATTTTCACTATATATTTCTTTATTGAGATCTTATAACACATATTATTAGAGAACAATAATATGACTTTAGGATAGATTATTTTTAATTTACTTTTCAGATATATAGTACACTTTATTTTAATATTCTGGGTCCTGCAAAGTTTAGTATGTTTTGCCATTTAAAATCATTCTAATTCACCTGCGTAATAATTCTTATATGTAAGTCTTAGCAAATTCTTAAAGTAAAAATTCCTTAAATGTATAACACTTGGATATCACAAAGGAAAGTTTAATTGAGATGGACTGAAAACAACATTGTCCAAACTGTTGATAATTCTGGAAATTCTAGATTATTTGCCATAGCTAATTAAGGCTTTTTCCTTTTCACAGAAAAACCATCATACATTCAAGAAATAAACCATCACTACTACTTAAGTCTATAAAGCACAGCTAAAAATATATAAAGAAAATAAACCTGAAGAAATATAAAATATGCTTGAAAATTCATTAATTTTTCTATAATCCCTGCAGCATAAAGTAATTGCACATGAAGTTTTTACAAATATATTTTCTTTAATGCAATTTTGTGAAGTGACCATAATTCTCAATTTAATGAAGACATACATTTTGTAATTTTGGAAGAGAAAAGTGACTAAAAACGGTTCTCCCTCAGTGCTCGCCACAGTTATCTATTCCATACCACACCACCATCTACCATCACTTCTGATTTTGGAGGAGTAAGGGAAGAAATGAAAGAAGCAATTTGTATTAATTAGGGAGTAGGAGAAAAGAATGCACAGTACTTAAAAGAAGAAACAAAAGAAAAGAAAGAGAGTTGATCTCATGTTTCATTCCGCTGCACCCTGCTTAAAACGTATAAATTAAAATGTTATAGTCAATAAGCATTAGAGAGTCATTATTTGTTATAATCATTATGGGTAAAAAGGAATGTTGATTTCATTCAACCAAAGATACTGAATAGTGCAATAAGGATTAAATATAGCACAAAGAATCTCACTAGAAACAAAAAACAGGGAAAATAAAGTGAACAAGGAGACTTTACCAGAGTTTATTTATCCTGAAGCACAACATTCAAAGCAGGAGCTCACTGATGGAGTTTGTTACTTATTACTCTCTGTAATCCACTGGCAGAGAGTAGAGTAGAGTAGAAACAGCACATAGGATATAGAAGACCCTGAATGGATGGTTGGCTGGATGTCTGGATAAGTCTGTCCATTCATTTACCTACCTACCTACCCCATGTTTATGGTCAACCGCAGGGATAGAAATGCTGTAGAAGTGGCAGACCAAAACTTCCAGTTTGCTGCCTCTCATGAGATGGTACTCAGTCAGTTGCTATTATCTTTGTGTACATATACAACCTTAATATCAGTTTGTAACTATTAGGAAACCAATAAGAGAAAATTGGCTTAACTCCACCCAGAGTTCTTTATTAAATATGAAACCAAGCTTCTGAATTATAAGATCACTATTATTTCAAGAGAAAAATAAAAATATCTGAAATACATTGCATGTCAAGTAATTGCCTTTTTTGAATGTGATTTAGAGTCATTCATCTATAAATATAAAAAGCAGAGAAACCTACTGTGTAGAAGAGAAAATTGTAAGAATGATGGGAGTAATGGCATTCTAAAGCATATCCTTTAAGTAAAAGCTAAAAATGAGATCAGAATTTACAGACCACACATGTTCAGTCCATTGATTGGTCCGTTGAAAACTAAGTGAATGAGATAACTAAATGACTACTTCACTCCCTAATGAAATGCAGGATGTCTGGAGTAAATCATAACATCTGTTTTATGGAACAGAGCAACAACACACAAAGTGGCATTGAGCTGGTGGGCTGACACCTGGTCTGGAGCCAACTGGCTCCAGCTTTTTATCAAATTACTAATGGAATCAGACTGACTCTGTAAGAGTCAAATTAGGCAAAGGTTTTGTAGCTGACATATTTCTTAAGCAATGCAAACAACTCTCATTCATTAAGGTATTAATGAATTTTCCTCTTGGAAGTGGTAGCAGCTTGTTAGGTCAACTGCAAAGATTGGGTGGTCTTTTCCAGAAGTCAGCCCAACCCACACACTCCACCGCACACAAGCAAAAGTGTGGCTAACTCACATGCTGAGATCTCATACATCTGGCATTTAATATCATAGAGACACGCACATAGAGAGACCTCCACATGTAGTGACTTTGCCTCAATAAAAAATACGGCTAGGCCATAGAAAGGTATTACAGAAGCCCATGAGAAATTAGAAAATCTTTAAAAATATTTTTTAGAATTCCCAAAGTAAAATGAGATACACAATTCATTACTTATTCTATGACACATGCTGAGCCATAAATCTCTATATCTAAATGATGCAGAATGTGAACATTTCCAGCCACCAGAAACCAATACCACAGAAATGACCCCTGCCCCCAGAAGACACTTAGAGTCCCAAAAAGTCCTTCAGCTTCACAATGGGGACAAGACAGCTAGCAGAGCTGACGTATGGAGCTGTAAGGAACTCTGATTTCTGCTGAAACATTGCTCTCTTTTTTTGGACTTTTAAATATTTTTCTTAAGCATTTTACTAAGACTTTATAGACATTTTGGTATTCAAACATTTAAACCTTACTCATTCTATGATTATATTTCTATGATTTTAAAGTTACTAATTTAGGTTTTAGAAAGACCAAAAAAAGCAAATAGTGAGCTCTAGCCAGAAATCTAATGCATTTCCCACAAGGCAAACTAAGAGATTAAGGAATCCCATTCAAAAGAAATAAAACTGAACTCTCATTTTAGGCTGCAGGAAGAATAACTGTGTGTTTCTGGAACACCCAAGTAAGCCTAATCTACCTAGCTGGCCACCAGCCAGGCTTCCATATGCAGCCTCCTCATAGGAAGAGGTACTGAGGTGCTTTTATTGAAAATCCAGGCACTGGTTAAAGGATAAAGCCATTCAAAGTCACTACGTATATTCACAAAAGACAAGATAATAAAATGATAGCGCTTAATGCGGAAATAAAATTTAGCCAGGGTGACCATTTAAACTAAGAGAATTAAAGAGACTGATGCAATTTGAGCAGCTGTGAGATAAGATTCAGAGCTCCCTAGTCCCAGCCATCCTTCGCCTTTTCCTGTCTTCGGTAAGAACTGTCATTTGGTTTCCCACAAGATATTGGAAGGATTAGAGGCCACTGGAAAAAATGGCACAGCAGAATACAAACCCCAGTCTTTTGATTCAAAAGACCTTTTCTTTTCCATGAGTCCTCTATAACTGCGATCAAATATAGATTTTATGGATTGATGGTGGAGAATTATGTAACACTTGTGGGAGTTTTTGTTTCCTAAACATCCCATATGAAGCTGTAAACTGCAACCATGTAACTTAGCAAAACTCTAGGATATAATAAATCAAATAAAAACGACACAGTACATTAGCTTGTTGCTGTATGCTCCTACGCTTGGAACTTTGTTTCTGTTTTGTTTGTTTGGTTTTGTTTTTAATGAAGAATAATTCAAAGTATCGAAAAAGTACCAAAAATTTAATGATCAGTTGAGTCTCTCGGAACTAAGACAGGATGACGCCAAGAATAATAGATTCTTGTATTTATTCATTCGAAATTTTATCCCTTTTCAAGTAAGAAGACTTTTTCCAAGTATCTTTTGACCAAGATTTCTTTTACTTTAAAGCTATTATCATGCAGTCAGCATCTCATGATTAAACACACACACACACACACACACACACACACACTAAAACCAAGGCAAATATATTAGTTTCCTATTGCCTCTGCGGCAAATTACCGCAAACTTAGTGGCTTAACCCAATACAAATTTATTGTCTTGAGCTGTGGAGGTCAGTAGTCTAAAACAGGTGGGCAGCGCCACATTACTTCTAGAGATCCTGGGTGAGAATCTGTTTCCTTGCATTTTTCCAGCTTCTAAAGGCTGCCCTTATGCCTTGGCACATGTCCCTTCCTCCATCTTCAAAATCAACAGTTTAGCATTTTCTGTCCTCTCTGACCTCCTGCCCGCCTCTTGTAAGGAGCCTTGTGATTACATTCACCCCACCCAGCAGTTCCAGGATAATCTCTCCATTTCAAGATCCTTAATTTAACCACAGTTCCTTTTGCCATGTAAGTTAACACACGCACAGGTTCTGGGGGTTAGGACATGGACATCTTTGGGGGATGGCAAGCATTATTCTGCCTACCAGAGAAAGTAAGGCCAAATGTTTTCACTC